TGTCAAATCAGGACTAGTATCCACATTACTGCTACTCAGTCCTGCCAATTTTACTTCAAAAAATATTTAAATTGAGTTTAGGGCATGTGAAAAATCCACAGAACTGATAGTAACACAACACACAATAAACTTCCATATAATGCCCTTGCCATGGTCTGCCCTGTCTAAAGGTGGGAGAGAGAATCTGGTCTTCCTGCCCATTCAGTCCTTGGCAGCACCTCTGCTGAGACTGCCAACCACACTTACAGTTGTTTGTTGGCATGAATACTTGTCTAATAGCAAATAAACTGAGACTGCCAAATAATTTCCTGTAGATCATTAAAAAAAAAAAATCAGTAACTGAGTCACTACTGACCTGGATCAGATTTGAACCAGTGGCTTAGGTGAACAGCAGGCATCATATCCCTTTCTTAGCCTTCCGGACTTTCCAGCCCCTGTTGTTTACATTATTTAATAGAAAGTGAACGTTAAAAATAAGCATATTTGTAAATCAAGTTGTGCTAAAACTCGTGATTGCACCATTCTTAAAACAAACTGCACAGTTCCTACTTTTGGTAGAGTGATGCTTCACCTGTGACTGTCCCTTTAAAAATGAAGTTTGTTTCTGGGGGGAGGAAATGAAATCATCACTTAAGCATCTTCTGGTTTTGTTCCGATTTAAAAAGTTCTCGGTCAGACATGAAGCCTCATAGGTGCAGCAACGTGCTGATATCAGGCGAGGTGTTGCAGCAAACAGCACTTGTTTACAAAATTGTTCCATCCTAAGATTGGGAGTCTAATACTTTGATCCAATCAGAGGGCAGGATTTTCTGACCCTGGTTTACAGTAGTACTTATACTATCTGCGCTACTTCAGAGTCTACCTCTGAAGAAATGAAATAGTTCTATATTAATCAAGCATTTTTGTTGTTTTGTTCACACTAAGGACAGCTCTTTTGTGTTTTAGCAGCTCGTGTTCCTTCATTTGAATCCTTTTCTTTTTCTCATAGGGTGAGATGGATCAGTTTTCTTGGGCAGCACTACGTGGTAAATTCAGGTCTCTGCTCACAACAGAACCTAGGGAAGATTTGTGACAGATGGGGCTAAGTCACAAACTTGCAGCCTAAGGCAGAATCTGTAGAACTTTCCAGAGTGTGCCCATATTTACCTGATCAGAGAGAAAAGAAAATCTGCAGAGGAAGCTGAGCCTGGCTGCTTGTCATAGCTGACACAGAGCCATCTGCCACAAACCTGTGGCGGCTTCAGATCTCCAATCCCTGCCACCACCCCAACTCAAATTAAATACAGATTCCTAGAGACGTTATGATGGTTACACATGTCCTCGGCATCACATGCAGGAGACTGTTCAAAAAAAATATGTGGCCTGTTGTATAACCGCACTCATGTATCCCATATGTGGTGCCACATTGAATTTCCGGTTGAATCTGTTTTTATCCTTTGTACTGGATGACATGGTGCCTGAATTCTTTCTTTTTGCCGACATGATGGCAGCCAAACTGCAGCTTCAAACGCTCACACTTGGCTGGGTTTCTACCTAGGTTGCCAGGTTATCATTGGAGCCTTATTGTGTCCTCAAAGGGCCACAGGGCCTGAAAGGAGGATCAGAGTGCTACTGGACTAATTGGGCAGCCATCTACGAATTGTTTGTAGGCAAAGCACTTTTCTTTTTGCAAATTAATAACTCTCTGGCACAGGGTTTTTAAGTGAAGGTATTAATAAGGGGTCTGGCAGGTATTCCCATGATTCACAGTTACATTTGCATTTAATTAATCTTAAAGAAAGCTGCAAGATAAACAGCTGTAATTCAAACTAGCATGGGAAATATGCTACATGGTGCCATCTATCCGATAAAATGAAAGCTGAAACACTTGTTTTATTTCTCTCAAGGATGGAGAACAAACAGATAACAGTCAAAATACTTCCAATAAAAACCAGTAGTTTTTATGTAACTGCAGTTCATCAAAAATCTTTGCATTCAGTTACAAATATAATCTTTTAAAGATAAATCACTTATGATTCTAAGCATTAGGCTGCTATATTTGTTGATGTAAAATGTTTTGAAGATTTAGATTGTACAATAAATTTTTAATAAAGTGCCCACTGCAATTTTTAATTAGCATATCTCATTCATGTATAAGTGTGTACATCCATCTGTATGCTTATCACTGTGCATATCCTTGTGACAGAGTCAATGAATACAATTGTGTCTTTATCTGATGAATTTAGAATCTGTTTTGCAAATGATAATAAAATATTATAACAACTCTAAGATTTTCAACTGTGTTCTGGGAAGAAGCAAGAGGTAAACAGGAATTCTCTCGGTAAGTCATTATGGTTTAAACTCTGCTAACACTGCCATCTCTTAATTGACAAATAAGCTTTCAACTTCCCTAGTTTGGGGCAAGATAGCTTTTCTTCCCCCACCTCCAAAAAAGCCTCTGTCACCTGAATACTAATTGAGTTTTCTTCTTTAGGTCTGCCAGTGTTTCCCCCAATTCCACAGTACACCCCAGTTCCTGCCATTCAGAGAGGAATGTACTGAGTAATATGTTTCTTTCTTAAACATTCTCTATTATCCATACTTGTGAACTCTGAACTTACAACTCGGAAGTGATAGTTAATCTATTTTGTTATACCATCAAGCAGTGTAGTGGTCTCAGATTTTACAGTGTGAAAGATACTATACGCATACCAGTATTCCATGATTGCTTTTTGTCGATCAGGGAAATTATTACATGACATTCTGATGGGTCACTTGTAAACATTGTGGTGTTTTACTGGTACTGAAAAAATGTAATAGGACAATAATCATCTGTGCATGTATATTTGCTTCTCCCTATTGGTACATACACTAAAATTACTGCAAACTTCAGCTTTAAACTGACCACTAGAAATGTAATGCAACAGTTAAAGCTGTCATTTCATCCTGACAGTCAGTCCAGATGTTGCTGCACATAAGCAATACTACTACTTTGCACTTGTATAGTACTTCTCATCTGAGTATCTCTGCAAATATTAAATGTCACAACATCCATGTGGAGGCAAATAAGTATTTTAGATGGGGAAATTGAGGCATGGCATGGTTAAATTGCTTAAAATATCAATGTCAGAACCATCAAAGGGACCTAGGAGTCCTGATTTCCTGCTTGAGCCCATAGGCAACAATCCCCTCACACATTGTTCTGACACCCCTGCTATCCCAAGGCATAATTGTGAGTTAAGAACATTGAACCTTATCCAAAAGCCCATTAAAGGCAATGGAAAGACTCCTATTGATTTCAGTGAGCTTTGGATCAAGTCCAAAGAGAGAAGCAGGCCTTAACTCTGGGGTTTTTTTATTATTTTTTTTTGTTTCATCGCTGTTAGTTTAATGTAATCTTTTGTATGTGAATTACAGTTGATTTTTTTTATAAATGTGTCTTTGAGAAGTTAATTGATTCTCCGCTACTGATGAAGAGTCATTGAAACCTCAGGGAGGGATAGAAGATTATCTTTCTAACTATTCAGATATTTATGTACCCCCATTGCTGTAGTAATGGAACACATGGAGGCACTTTCATGTAGACCTTTTCTAGATTAGGAAAGTGGTCAAGTTTAGGTCAGACTTGGGTGGGAGGGATAGCTCAGTGGTTTGGGCATTGGCCTGCTAAACCCAGGGTTGTGAGTTCAATCCTTGAGGGGAGTCACTTAGGGATCTGGGGCAAAATCAGTACTTGGTTCTGCTAGTTAAGGCAGGGGGCTGGACTCGATGACCTTTCAAGGTCCCTTTCAGTTCTATGAGATAGGTATATCTCCATATATTATTATTAACTAGATGAGCCTAACCTGAACTCAACCTTTTTCCAAGTCTAGTCAAAATTTTAGATGATGTGACAATTTCCCTAAAACCGGTAAGGTTCTTCTTTTGAAAGAAAGTGGAAGTCCCTATTACTCTTTGAGGCACATAATTTCTTAGAAATGTTGGACAGGAAGGGACCTCAGGAGGTCATCAAGTTCAGCCCCCTGCGTTGAGTCAGGATCAAGTAAGCCTAAACCACTCTGACAGGTGTTTGTCCATCTTGTTCTTAAAAACCTCCAATGATGAGGATTCCACAACCTCCCTTGGAAGCCTGTTCCAGAGCTTAACTACCCTTATAGTTAGAAAGCTTTTCCTAATATCTAACCTAAACCTCCCTTGCTGCAGATTAAGCCCATTACTTCTTGTCCTACCTTCAGTCAAAACAGAGACTAATTGATTTCTGCCCTCTTTATAATAACCCTTAACATGTTTGAAGATGTTGTCAGGTTCCCCCACAGTCTTCTTTTCTCAAGACTAAGCATGCCCAGTTTTTTTAACCTCATAGGTTAGATTTTCTAAACCTTTTATCATTTTTGTTGCTTTCTTCTGAACTCTCTCCAATTTGTTCACCTTTCCTCAAGCATGGCGCCCAGAATTGGACACAGTACTCAAGCTGAGGCCTCACCAGTTCCAAGTAGAGCAAGACAATTACCTCCCATGTCTTACATACAACACTCCTGTTAATAAATCCAGAATGATATTAGCCTTTTTTGCAACTGCAGCACATTGTAGAATCAGATAAAATTTTTGATCCATTATAACCCCCAGATCCTTTTCAGCTGTACTACCACCTAGCCAGTTATTGCTCATTTGTAGCTGTTCATTGGATTTTTCCTTCCTAAGTGCATGTCAATGCACAACTTGAAATGCTTAGTTTGTGGACAGAATGTACCCAGAAAGTTTATATGTCAGCAGATAATTAGAGAGTGTTTGTGGATCTGCACATGCTCATTTATTCTTCATACTAATAGGATTTAGTATTTTTAAAGTCAAAGAGAACCTGTTATGGACTAATATCCTGATTCCCCTCCTAAGAGGAAAGACTTATCTACCCCCCTATAAGGGTTCGATTTGCACCCACTTATGTCTGCAGAGAAAACTTTTGTAAATAAGGGATTCACTCCCTAGACGCCAAGAAGAGCTGTCGGGGGAGAGGCTTTCCTCCATGATTACTTTAATTCATGGCTAGGTTCATAGGAGGCCCACTGATGGAGGATGCCTGAGAAATGTTTTGTATAATCAGCATATCTCCTAAATGGACTAGGCCAACCCCCTTCCTGGTTAGCACTGCCGGTGTTCTGGGTTATTCTGACCTGTGTCAGGCTTCCCGGCTCAGCGGGTGGTATAAGGTTTGTGAGAGGCTTGAGCCAGTACTCTTCCCCTCAATCCCCAAAGAAGAGGATTTCCACCACAAGAGGCCTGCAGCCTGGGTGCTGCTATAGTGTGAAACAATCACAAAGTGTGTGTTTGCTGGCATTTTTAGTAGTTTCTCAGGACCAAGGAAGAGTCAGCCATTCTGCACAAATTCTTCTAAAGCTTTTACTTTAAAAATGTTCTAGATACAAAATTTGGTTTTCAGTGCTGTAGTCCATACTCATATGAGTAGCCTATATTTACTGAGCTACTCATGCAAGTAAGAGCTGCAGGATCAGCCCTTGCCTTTGTTTATCTTGTATCTATTATTGTTTCATCTACATTGAAATAGGAACTGCGAGTTCTTTGATATAAATTGTTAGTTTCACTGCAGGTCTAGTAATTGCCCTTTTGATCTTTGATTAAATGCTTTTCTGTAATGTCTTACACCAGTGGCTCACCACAGATAGCTCTCTGCCATCTTCACCTGTAATACACTAGGGCTCTGAGCCTACACTCCTTTCATGTCCGTTTAAGTTACTGCCTATTTTGAGCGTTCTGGGAATGCAGGTTTGTTCCATAAGGAAATTATTTTTCCTTCTCCTGTAGAAGGAGAGAACAGCTCTGTCTACACAATGGAAATTTTTGCAAAATGTTCTGGCCCTTGCTCGCACCAGTTCAGTCTCATGTTGGTAGCATTGGGAGTCCTGGTATAGACATGCTGCCATCCATGTTTTATGCCCTGTGGCCTCTGACCTTGCACAAACCTGAGGTAAATCAGGATGCTGAATTTTTCTATACTGACACCAGTAGGCTGTGCATATAAAAGAACAGCATTAAGCAAATTCTGCTTCTCCATTACACCTGTATAAATCTCCAAGGGGTATGCTCCAGAGTAACAGGACAGATTCTATCCCTCATTTATATTTTTAAAGGCAACAAACTTCCTTTGCTCAGATGGATGAGTGCAGACATCAAGGAGCACCTTAAATTGGAAACATTCAAGGGGAATACTACCCGGTAATGGGGCTAAACTCATTTTTACTAAAATACTTTAAAAATGCTTCACCGTGTTAAACTAGGCTTCATCTTGAAGTGAAATTTTGCCACAGACGTATGAAGCTTTGCAAATAAGGTTTTATAATAGAAGCACTGTCAGAACGTTAATTATAGGGTAATAAATAGCAATGCTATATTATCCTCTGATATTTCCTTACACTCCTAGTGAATATGCACAGCTGTTGTTGAAAACTGGTAATCCAGTACTATATAACCATATTACATCTTGCACTTACAACACACCCTTCATGTAAGCAGCATCATAGAGCACTTAACAGGGAGAAGAAGCGAAAGCTGCTTCTAAGTAGAAGCCTTAACTGAACAAATGAGCTTTGAATTTTAACATAAGAATCCCAGTCAAACCAGAATTCTTGATCTTGCCAGGAGAGGCATTCCAAAGGCAAGGAGCATGCCAAATACAAAGTCTTTGCTCCAGCATTATGGAGGCAGTACTTTAAAAGCCAGCATAACTTAACGATCAATCAGGACTAGACAGAGCAATAACATCACAACTGAAGGAGGCATAAAAGTTATACAAAGCGTTTGTAATATGGAGGAGGGAGTGGAATTTTAACAAGAAGAATTAAACTCTGGAAGAGCCCCTTTTCTTCTTGATGAGCTGGGCTGGCTGTAAGAAACCAGAGAGTCTTCCAGGGCCAAAAGGATGTAAGTGGGGGGGTAGAGAAGGAAATCAAGGTTAAACGAGGCCAATATGATCTAAAAATAATAAAAAGCGAGAGCAGCCCCGCGGAAGTGCACGAGCCAGCTGCGATGCCGAACAGTTCCAGCGCGAAGGAGGGAACCAAGTGGGGGAGACGGGAGTGGTTCCGCGCACAGATCGATGCTGTCACGCACAGCACATGCCGGAGCTGCGTTTGTTCTCGCAGGAGCCGGAGCTTGGCCCCCAGAAGATGGTGTGTTTGCAAGACATCTAGCAAAGGCAGAGGCAGGGAGGAAAATATCCCCTGGCTGGGAAACGTGCATGTTAGGAAGCGAAGGGCAGCAAAGGCTGGTTCGCT